ATATATACATATATACATACATATATACATACATATATACATACATATATACATACATATATACATACATATATACATATATACATATATACATACATATATACATATATACATACATATATACATATATATATATATGTATATATGTATATATATATATATGTATATATATATGTATATATATGTATGTATATATATATGTATATATATATATATGTATATATACATATATATGTATATATGTATATATATATATTAAAATAATAAATGATCAACCCAAACCCAACTCCATCAGTACGCATGCGAAGCACAAACCTGGTGATCCGCTTGACCCAGCCACTCCGTTCGTTCCCACCTTATCGGGTCGGGTCGAACAGACTCCGCCACGTCCGTCCGTTACAAGGAGAGAAACGGGCAAGGCGGAGAAGTATCCAGAAGCGCGTAGATAAGAACACTGCTGACGTCATGCTGCGTTGACGCGTAGCACTTGGAGCTTCGGACCCGCCGTCTAACGCGACGAACGGCGACAAAACCTGTGGAGGGATTCTCCACTGGCAACCACACAATCATTGTGACTGTATCCTAAAGCTGCCATCCTCTTAAATGAAAAAGGAAAAAGATGGAACTTGTTAACGCAGCGGCAATGTGGGTTACGCCACGTCTTACGTTGAGGCTTAAATAAGCGAACCTATTATAGCAGGAAGTAATACTACTCGGAAGGTTTGGATGTATCACGAACAATTGATGTGCACCCGAACAACAGGCGAAGCTGGCAGGAGTGAGTGCCTTGTGTTTCTGTGGTCTCCGGTGGGTGATGGTAGCAGTAGGAGCTTGACTTGGAGCCAAAATAGGACGTAGGAAACAGGCGGCGGAGGCGAGTGGAAAAGCCAGAAACACGTCTCGGCTGATGAGAGGTGGAATGCCATCTCACATCATGTGGGCGGCACGTGATTCCTTCGGCCTCCTCAGGAAGGATACGTCCACGATTACTCCCGGGGGTCGCATGCAGCCAGCCGCACAGGCTGCATCGCAACGAACAGCAACCACCGCCACTCGGCCCGTCGCGAACTTTGAAGCAGTTCGTCCGGTTCGGGGGGTGGCTACACGTGGCGTAGCTGGTGAGGACGACGCTGTTGCTGGAGGCACAGCGGCCGGAGGGAGGTGGCCAGCCTGATGCGCCGCGGGCTGCTACCACTGAGCTCACAACGTTTGGCCGGGGTCCAGCGGGCGCAACATCCGGGGTAATGAAACCCCCTCTCTCTCTCTCTCTCTCTCTCTCTCTCTCTCCACTCCTCTCTTGCCAATCTCATGTGACGCTATATCAAAGACTTACTTTTGTTTGTAGGAAATAATAGCACGTAGTTTTCATTTACGTTCATCATTATCTTCTTTTATTTTTCGTTTGGAATTAATGTGATGAGGTCGGCGTTGGTATGAGATAGGTAGGAATAGAGAGTTTGACGCATTCGGTGTGGTTCGTGGCAGTGCCGGTTTGCGGAGCACATAACAGGCGATGGCAACAGCAGTAGGCCTCCGGATTGCGCTCCTCCTTGTTCGTGGTCTGTAACTGTAGCCATCTCGCTCGCCCGCTTCCTCTCCCGGCGACTCAGGAAACTGTGCAGGAGACGAGTGGGCGCGGTCTCCCGTCGCCCCCCGCCTCCTCCTTTATATCCCTTCTCCTTTCCTCTCCTTTTCTTTGTTATTTATTGTGTTTTCTTTTTCTGCCGGTTCTGTTCATCTCGATCTTTTGATGACTGGTTCTGCATTCTCTTCTTTTTTTTTTGTTTTTCTTTTATCGCGTTATAATTCCTCTTTTTAATGGTAGTGTGAAAAGGCAAAGGACTACACAGTAAGGAAGAGGAGGGGTCGCTTTCGCTTGTATTATTATTATTATTATTATTATTATTATTATTTTGCCTTCGCTTCCTAGGAGAAGGCAGCCGTTTCAGTTTCTTTCACAACAAATCTCTCTCTCTCTCTCTCTCTAAGGGGGTGGGGGAGGTGGTGGGGGCCCGACTTCATGCACATGGCCTCGCCCACGCTCACGCACCCTCTTCCTCGGCCTCCGCCTTCAGGTTACTTCTGTCGTAAGTCCTGCCCTCTTTGTTAATTATATTCCTTCTTTGGTCTTTGTCGGTTGTGTTTTACATTTACCAGAGGAAAGACAAAGGATATATACAAGTTGATAAGACTACTCCTCCTTCCTTTGTATGCCCTCATCCTGTTATATACATAGTGGTTGGAAATGGTTCTTGATCAATCCTTGTGAAATAGGACTAGAGAACAAAATATCTCAGACCGTGGAGTGCGAGAGTCGGCGAAAGCAGGGAGATGTGGTGTTTGCCTCCGACGAGGTGGAGGAAGCCATGGCAGATCATAAGGTCGAAGGAGAGGAAAAAGTTTTAGGAGTTGGTTGTGGAGGAGACACGGCGGCAGGAGTGGACGACATCGTGCTGAATATAGACGGGGAGGATCTCATCTTCTCCGAGGACACATTTCCTTGCTTGCCCGACTTCCCATGCCTGTCTTCACCGTCGGCCACCCCCTCGCCGTCCTCCGCTTCCACCTTGCATGCAAAGAACGCAGTCCTGTCTTCTTGTTCCTCCGCTTCATCTTCTTCTTCTTCTTCTTCCTCCTCCTCCTCTTGGTCCTTCTTACAGGTCCCTGACAGTGGCAGGGTGGCCGACATGCAGCAGCAGGCGACCGAAGTTCAGTCGGTGGACGACATAATGATGCTTCCGCCGCTGCCGCCGCCGTTAGACCATCACCAGTCGAGCGAGTTCGCCGATGGGCTCGACATCCTCGGGGACATCGACCTCTTCGATCTGTCGATTGATCCCTGGGACCCGCCTTCCCTCTTCCACGCCGACGAAGCCAGTGCGGCCGTTATCAGCGGCGGGGATGAAGCCGTCGGGAGTCATGAGAAGAAGCCGTGTCAGGCTGTAGAAGAAGGTCGTTTGCATGGTCACGGGGAAGGAGTGCCGCAGCAAGCTCAGGAGGAGGAGTCTTCGGAGGAACTGGCGAGGATATTCTTGGAGTGGCTAAGGAGCAACAAGGACTCGATCTCGCCGGAGGACCTCCGTAGCATCAAGCTGAAGCGCGCCACCATCGAGTGCGCTGCCCGCCGCCTCGGCCGTACTAAGCAGGGCAGGACGCAGCTGCTGAAGCTCATACTCACCTGGGTCCAGAACAACCATCTCCAGAGGAAGCGCCATCGGTTGCCGTATTCCTACGACCACCAGCCCCGGCCGTTTCCCATCTCCCCTAACCCTAATCAACTCGACTACAACTGCAATCCTTGGAGCCCCTACTCCATGGATCCTTCGACGGCGGCTACGCATCCAGCCTTACTGAGCGCCTACGCCGGCGGCGGCAACGGTGAGATGGGGTATCCCAGTGCAACAGCCAATCCTTATCCTTACCACCACAGCTGTGGCACCAGCAGTGTCGTCGTCAACAACCAACCTTTTTCTCCATCTCCGGACTTCGTCGACCCCGCAGGGGGACCGTGGCCGGCGCGGTTAGCCTCAACCTTACCTCAGTTTGCGCCCTACCCAGGCACCTCCGCTTCCCACCCGCTGTCCATGGCGCCGCCGCAGTATTCCGGGGGTATGACGAACCAGTTTCTGGGCCATCCGATGTACCACCAAGGCCAACGACTACCTGGGACGACTTCCGCGACGAAGGAGGCGAGGAAGAAGCGGATGGCGAGGCAGCGGCGCTTCTCCTCTCTCCACCAGCACCGCAACCACAACCAGCCGCTGCACCTGCAGCATGCTCATCATCCCGTCGGATCCACCGAGGGTGCAAACGGATCGTCTCATTCGAATACAAGGAATTGGGGTTTCTGGACCAGCATGTCCTCCTCGTCCCACCAGATGAACCACATGGCCGAGGCGCAGAATGCTTCAAACATGCAACAGACGCCGCCGCCGCCTGCGGCGCAACTGCCGCAGAGGCCTCAGCTTACCACCGCTTCGACCTCGGAGAAGCGCCAGGTCCGTCCTTGATCTGAAAACAGCGCACTGCTCGGTGGATTCTAATCATCGACGTTAATCCAGGGATGGAAGGGTGAGAAGAACTTGAAGTTCCTGCTGCAGAAGGTGTTGAAGCAGAGCGACGTGGGTAGCCTGGGCCGGATCGTGCTTCCCAAAGTGAGACAACATCCTCGACATGGTTTGATTAGAAGTCGATTCTTCCGTGCTTCCATGATCTCAGGATTTAGTGCTCGTTGTCTTTCTCCGAAACCTTTTAACGGAGTCTGATTCGTCTGTTGTTCTTTGATCCAACAGAAGGAAGCGGAGACCCACTTGCCGGAGCTGGACGCGAGGGATGGGATCTCCATCCCCATGGAGGACATCGGCACATCCCAGGTGTGGAACATGCGCTACAGGTATATGCGCTTTCCAGTTCCATCGGCATCGTTTTGTCATTGCTTGATTCCGAGCGTGTTGATCTCGGCTATGCTACAGGTTCTGGCCCAACAACAAGAGCAGAATGTATTTATTGGAGAATACAGGTGAATCAAGAGTCTCATTCTTCTTCTTCTTCTTCTTCTTCAGTAATATAGTTTTTCAGTTCATGGTTGGCATTTGGTCGAACACTCAATACAATGATAATTCAGGGGATTTTGTGAGGTCAAACGGGCTGCAAGAAGGGGACTTCATCGTGATCTACTCCGACGTCAAGTGCGGCAAATACGTAAAACACTCACCCCACTTTGTTTCAGATCTCGATCGCTTGTCGAGGGAAGTCATCGCTGACATTATCGTACATGGTAAAAAACGATAGATGATACGGGGAGTGAAGGTTCGACAGCCGGTGGAGGCGCGAGCACCGAGCAGCAGGAACACCGGGAAGGCGCATCAGAGGAGGAATGGCTTGGAGAAGATGGCTGGCGCATCAAAAATGAAAGGACGCAGTCTCATACATGATGATGCCGACAAGTACGACGACGACGACGACGACGACGACGACGATGTTCCACCTTCTATGCATGGCTAAGAAGGAAGCTGATCCATGGAATGGATGAGAACGAGAGAACAAACAGATTCCAAAACCCTAACTAACGCTCTTGCTTCCGTAGGGAGTCTCCGCTTATGCCTGTTCTATTTTGATCACCTTTGGTCCTTGTGCATACCAACTCTCGTGTTGTAACCAATACTACTACAACTACCACAAGGCATGCGGTGGTCGACGGTGGGAGGATCTTTATGTGGTGGTAGTAAATAAATCTAGAGGAGTGGTTTGTGTTTAGCAAACTGAATATATATATATATATATATATATATATACTTTTGGTTGGTTAATCGCGAGACGTTTCCATGTCTAGCTTGATATACTTTCAAGAAATGACGCTTCAAGTAGAAGATTGTATCGAAAGAAGGGGAGTCTATAGAAATCCCACCATACGGTAAGATTTCCGAGGTAAAAGCGCAAGACATTGATGGTGGTAGTAAAAATGGAATGATTTATATATAATCAAATCAATTAAAGGAAGAACTTATATTAATGTAGAAAACGAGTACAACATTTTTAAAGGAAAAAATGTTCATGATCTTCATGCTAAAAAAAAAAAAAAATCTTCATGATGAGAAATTCTGAAAGAATTAATTCCAGACCATCGAGAGAGAGCGCGCGCTTACTTTCGACGTAAACGACAAACTAAAAGAGAGAAGAATTTAATTAGGAAACGACAGAAAAATGCGCTTGTTATTTTGTGGATTTTTTTTCTTCGTCTTCTTTTTCTGGTTGCCGCAACATGCTGCATTAGATCCGTAAGGGTTACAAGTCAAATTTGTTTCTTAGTTCTCCATCTTTAATGACGTCCAAGTTTATCCAATAGAATCGAAGATTGGACCTGAAGCCAATTAAATATGTAGGTAGTTTTGAAGTTTACTCTCAAAATTTGACTTGGCGTGATCTAATTCACATAAATTCCATTCCTCGTGGCTTATCTTTTGTGACTTCTGATCTACATGCCCAAGCCTAAGTCCTCTCTGTTTGGTAAATTTATCAGTAAGCACACACCAATTATCTCATCGTGCAGGATAACATAGGATAATTAGACTGCATAGGATTTTGGAGATCTCATCCTCAACCAGAGGAATTGAAAAAGGAAAAGAGCTCCGATGTCGGGATATGAATGTGTTCGGCAAGGAGTTGTGCAAACCTAAGTCAGGTATATATGATAAAAGCCTCACTGATGGTTAAGTTGCAAAACTAATTAGAGGTATGCTTGATAAAAATCTCTCTAATGGTTAAGTTAGTATAGTTAAAGAAGTGATAATATATGATTAGAAGGGTCCATAGAATTTTGAGTTAGAAAACTTAAAAGACATTCTAATAACATATAATTAGAGACAACAATGACTATATATATCTTGTTAAATCGAGTAAAAAAAAAAAAATTAACTATTATCCTCCATATACACACATGATACTTTGTGACTTTCAAAGACACTTCATAAAGGTTAGTAATAAACTAAATCTTTGATCAAATTAAAATACTATATGAATATGACAAACAAGATCCAGAGAGCAAAAATATTTATCTTGCTTTCTTCATTTGGTTGTCGATGGGTTATTGTTTGAGGAGGCAGCACCCAAAGTATGGTAGGGATATGTACACACTCAGCATTAATGGATTCTGTTTTGGATGTTGCCGGAAGACTCGGTGGCGTCACCCTGCGATCACAAACTCGGTTCATTCTTCTCCGGGTGCACACGACCCGATGACAAGTTCGGTGGAATCACCTGACTTGATCGGTTTCGCCACAAATATTGTCTCCGTGTCTTCTTCATTTCCTCAAATAAATAAATAAGAAGTATTATCTTAATTAACCACATGGTACTCTTAATTTCCTCTTTCCAGATTGTCTAATAATATTGTAATACTACAATTGATCTTGACATTACGTACTGTAAGCTGAATGGCAGGTTACCTAAAAGAAACTAGTAATTTATTGACATTGCAATCTATTGCCTATAACTCCCATGTGTACGGCAAAGCAAGCGTGTGGAGTCATGAGTACTACTAAATCTAGGAGCTTCGAAACACCAAAACAATCTTTGCCCTTTGTTTAGTAGAACAACCATGAGAAACTTAGAATTTGATTGAAGGACAAAAAAAAAAAAAGAAACTCACAATTTAACTTTCTGACGGTACGAACCTTTCGAAATAAAGGTTTCATTAAACACACTACTTTCTGATGGTGAAGGATAATCCAGTAAAAGCATTCAAAATAGCGAAACCTACTCGACCATGGAATAAAATCAACTTGCACCCAACACTGCATTGAACTCACGCTCAGAGGCAACAGCAACAAGTGCGATGATCAAACTACAACTTCCAAGTCATTGGGTGCTTATTTTTTTGCTTCAACTGGAAAACAATCTTGAAGAAATAATCCACACAAACGACAATTAAAATCAACTTCGAAATCAGTAAAGCCTAAGCGCGAACTACATATTTCAGCGTGCCCAAAATCAGAGTAATTCAAATACCAAACTTCTCAATACAAAAAAGTAGGTGGGCTGCATATAATGCCCAAACCAGAGTGCCTGAGATAATTAAGATAGTAGACATCATGACTGACCATTTATTCATAACAGAAACAAAAAAGCACGGCCACCTACGACAGTGACCAGCATGACCAATAAGAGGAAGACGGTTCACCGAGTCTTGTGCATGTGGCGGACCAGATCGACGACACGCGAGCTGCAAATAAGAAAATAAGGATCGGATTAGAAGGCATAACAGATACCTCATTCCGCATGACTACAAGTAGCATAATTTATTCACAAGGTGGTTTTGAAGTACCTGTAGCCCCATTCATTATCGTACCAAGACACGAGCTTGACAAAATTTCCATTTAAAGCAATTCCAGCCTTTGCATCAAAAATGCTTGACCTGCAATAACCAATCAAAGAGTTTTTAAACTACTATATTACCATGACAAAATCAGATCAAAAGATATGAGAGGACAATTTTCCAATCATTCATTTGGAGATGAAATAAACTTAGAAAGCAATTAGTTTGAAACTACATATTTGACAATAAAGAGTACCTGTTATCACCCAGGAAGTCAGTGGACACCAAGTCCTCCTCCACATATCCAAGGATGCCCTTAAGCTTTCCCTCAGATTCTGCCCTGAGTTGTGACAAATTAGAAAAAAAAAAAAAAAAAAACTTGTTGAGTGCCACACAATAGAAAAATAAGAGATTAGACTCCAGCATATAGGATCCTCTCCGCATAGTAGCTAGGTGTATTATGAGCAGTATATTGAAAGGATAGGTTTGTTTACTAAATTATGGTAAAATAATATGCAACCATAATCTTCTAATGACTAATCTACAACTGTACAAACAACCCACTATAGAAACACACCAATTCAATCAATACAGACAAACAACACGGGTGTAATCATCATTGTTAAAAGAAAGGAATGTGCCAACTTTTGCTACTTACTTGATGGCAGCCAACTTTTGCTACTTACTTGATGGCAGCCTTGATCTCCTCATAGGTGGCTGGTTTCTCAAGCCTGACAGTGAGATCCACAACAGACACATCAACAGTTGGGACACGGAATGCCATACCAGTTAACTTTCCATTCAAGGCAGGGAGAACTTTTCCAACAGCCTGTCATTAGCAAATCAAAATAGTTCATGGTGTATTCTGATGTAAATCCTAGTCAGAGCAGTCATCAATCTTCAAATAAGCAGGGCAAGCATAAGAAGCAAAGCCAACAGGAAATGAAGTATACTACCAGAGCGTTTTAACCTTGTACCATTCACATACATTCATGCTAATAAACTGGGAAATTCAAAATAGTATCTTCCCTTAGACATACAATAATCATGGTAATGCATCAGTATCCATACATGAAAGCAACACTATTCTTGAATTTGTCACATTATGTGCACATATACATATTGTTTATCATAGACCACACGTGCATATGTTAGGATGCACAACTAAACATAACAAAAATCTACTGAAAATACCTTGGCAGCACCAGTGCTGCTGGGAATGATGTTGAAGCTTGCAGCACGTCCACCTCTCCAGTCCTTACTAGATGGACCATCAACAGTCTTTTGAGTGGCTGAGAAAAAATAAAGCAAAAGATCATATTTACAACTTTGAAATAGACACACTTCACAACAGAATCAACTAAGTATAACTCAAGTTATAGTTACCGGTGATTGAATGAACTGTCGTCATCAAACCCTCTATTATACCAAATTTGTCATGAACAACCTGTGATATATAGGATAAAGCTCATCAATCAATATCAAGTACAATATCCAAAGAGTAGTCCTCGATAAAATGTGGTTTACCTTTGCTAGAGGAGCAAGACAGTTGGTGGTGCAGCTCACATTAGAAACAATATTAATATCAGGCTTGTACTCATTTTCATTCACCCCTACAACGAACATTGGTGCATCCTTGCTAGGAGCAGATATAATGACCTTCTTGGCACCACCCTGTATTTAAAAAAGAATCGTCCAATAGGGAAATTCAATAAATCCTATTACCAAAAGAAGTAGCTTCACAGAAAAAGAAAAAAGAAAAGAAAAGAAGTGTATAGAACAAAACTCAATGAAAGAACTTACAATACAATTGAATGTTTGAATCATAACTCTTAAATTTCAGAAGATACATATCACTAGTATCTGTTGTTTGCTGATAACTGGAACATCCAGTTGCTTACAAGTAGAGTTGCCTGCAGGTAGCAACTGCTCACAAAAGCAATTGCTACAAGTAGCAATTGTAGGTACAGCTGTTCAAGTAACTTCAACTGTAGTTGCAACTAAGAAATGTAATACCAATAATTACAGGGACTATAGAGGAAGATAAAATGGGCCAATGTGTGAGGTAATAGGACAGGAAGTAGAGTTTTTAAGCTACTAACAATGGACTATATAATTAGTGAAATTATATAGAATGAGCCAGTTTCTTCAAGCAACATATATATTAAACATTACATTTCAAACTTCCTACTTCAATGTAAATAATTGTAGATGCTAATTTCTGAAATTTTCTGACATCAGCTAAATAGTTACCAAGTAAAAAACGGGATGAAGTGGCTGTCAATTAACAGATTCAGTGTAGCATTTTACAGGCTTAATGCTTTAATCACCCTGGAAGTTAGCCTAGCCTAGAAACTGAGTTGTCCAGGCT